CCATATTTTTGTGTTACCGTTTAGGTAGACCGAAACATCGGTCTCTATGCCAGCCTCTGATAGCTATTTGGACAGATGTCTGGCTGGTGTAGAGACAGAGAAATAGTGATGGCCCATCTTAATACGCCCACAATTGTAATGGCAGCCAAGTCAATCGGGCGATTGACAAGAGCTATCAATAAATGAAATATTTCGAGGGTAACATTTTCATAATGCACAAGCTTTATTCCAAGATTAGAGATCTTTTTTTTTTTGATTTTCAACAAGTATCGTCTAAATAAGTCCAGAATTTTGTCTGCTGGAGTTTTACTAGCTGAAGATTGAACACATTTTTAAGAACAAGGGCAATAACCCATATTAAATATTTATCGATTTTCTGCTTTTCAATAAGGTTCAGGTGATTCAACCAAGTTTCTTTAAAATCTATTGAGAATTGTGCCTTGAATGTGATATCAAGAACAAGGGCAATAACTCATATTAAATATTTTATAGGTTTTCTTTTAATATCTATAGGGTACATCACTTGGAAATGATAAACAATTTCACCACATTTCATCTAAATCTGTCAAGAATTGTGCCTTCTAGACCTTTCACAAGTTAAAAATTGAACTAGTTCTCAATAGGGTTTATCCTAAACAAGCATTGACACCAAATTCTATCAAACTACATCAAGAAACCAGCTGTCTATCATGTCCACAACACATTTTAAAAAAAAAATTAAAGCGTTTTAAGAACAAGGGCAAGAGCTTGTATCAAATATTTTTTTGATTTGTCTGATTTTCAATAGGGTTGATCCTTATGACGTGATAACAATCATTGACACGGTCAAGAAACTAACTGTCTATAGTGTCCATAACACATTTTCAAATAAAAATTGAATGCGATTTCAAGAACAAGGGCAATAACCCATATCAAATATTTATCGATTTTTCTGATTTTCATTAGGGTTCATCCTTAGGTTATACCAAACAATTTATCAAAATCTATCAAGAAACCATCTGTCTAAAATGTTCACAACACATTTTCAAAAGATAGAACCGACGGACAGGGGCGACGGCAATATACGCCCACATTTCCATGTGGGCGTATAAAAACTGTAGTCTCTATTGCGTTCACAAACAAATTTTGATGCGTTTTTCCTAAGACAAGGGCAATAACTCACAAAACCGTTCATTGAAAGATCATCAAATTCTAAGTTGACCAAGATATCATCAATATAAATGATCACACCAAATTTCATTAAAATCAGTTAAAAACTGTAGTCTCTATTGTGTTCACAAACAAATTTTGACGCGTTTTTCCTAAGTCAAGGACAATAATTCAAAAACGGTTCATCGAAAGATCTTGAAATTCGAACTTGACCAAGATCTCATCAATATAAATGATTAGGGCTGTCGGAAATAATCGATATATCGATGTATTGCGATACAGGACACCTGGAAGGAATATATCGATACCGATCTGTGTGTATCGATATTGACGATTTTTTTACTCTACTTTCACTTTTCATGTGCCAGACCCTAATTGTGGTTGTCGTAATATTTACATTGGTGGTGTTATTGCTTTAAATAAAACGTAAACGCGTTATTATCGTTGTTAAATTTTCTTCCATTTTAAACTAAGCTAAATTTACTAAATACATGACGTTAGTTTTAATTATATAAAATAATAAGATAGCTTGCTAGGCAAGGAAACATACGCCCACTGGCAGCTGTCAGAAATGATAAAACAGTCTTTAGTGACTAAAGTACGAATTTTCTCATATTGAAGAAATTTTATTAGTTTGAATTCAATTACATATACAGTCAAGTAAGCTAATTTCGTGGAAACCTATTATTCGTGGATTTTCGGAAATGTTTAATAATTTACATGAGCGACCTTGCACGACCTCCGCATTAGTTTGTTTTAATAATCATTCTGTACCATGTCAGCTAGTAGAATGAATTCAGTAGTTTCAAGCAAAGTAAAATGTATTAATGTATACTTTGACAAATACAAAATGGCAGATTTCACTTATTACCAAACGTCACCATTTTTTATCGGCCGAATTTCCTTATAATCCCACGCGGAAATCAGAATTCCAAGTGTCATCTGCTAGAATATAGTCCAACGAATGAAGTCACGTGATCAACTAGCGGATTCCGTGTCAGCAGAAAATTTCTATGAAACAGAAAGTGGACCATATTCTTATGTTGTTTCAGTGACTTTTAGCAATAAATCACGCTACGTATCTTATTTTGTCAGTCGCTATTTTTTTTTAAAATGTGGTTCTTTGAAGGAATTGTCACTAGTTATAATGAATTGATATTAAAGATAAATACTATGAGAAGTTAATTATACCAGCCGGTATCTATACAACATGTTTTTCTCGACTTATTTATAGATCAAACATTGTACACGAAAATAGGTGATGCATTCTGCCGCCTTTGCCGAGTTGGTTGCTCATGAAATATAGGTCAAAGTGAAGGATTCACTTTAATTATTTTGTAGAATATCTGAGGAAACATCTAAGACATAAAAAAAAAAATTTCGTTTTTTTTACTTTGACGAAATTCGGTGTGGAATCCTAATATCCACGAAAATAGGTTACACCACTGTATATATATGCCAGTTATTTATGCCGAGTAATTCTATAAAATTTTCTAAAATCAATATCAATAACCCAAATACAACAAACAATTAAATCACACTGCTCTAATCAAGTTCAAAATACAACTTTTACCGCGTGTCAATGGCAATAACTCAAAAAACGTTCATCGAAAATGGTTGAAAACTGTAGCTTTAATTGTGCTCACAAACTATTTTTAACAAATTTTGCCGTGTTTTAACAAAGTAAAGGGCAATAACTCAAAACCGTTCATCAAAAATGCGTCAAGTTAGAACTTGTCCGAGATCTTATAAATTCCAATGATCACACCAAGTTTCATCAGAATCGGTTGAAAAC